GTGCCCAGCGGTTGCAACATGCAATGAAAATTATTAGTGCCCCCCCAGATTTGACTGTTGTATCTTATGTGCCCCCCCTACATATTGTTCCTAGAGTCGCCACTGCTCCCAACACCTCTACAGGGCAAGCAAGGGAGCTGTACAAGCAATGCACATGTAGAAGGAGCTCCGTCACAGCACAGCAGTCCACACTGGACCTTAGGCTGATGATCCACTCTAGTTCTTGTAAGGTAGGGAGACTTGATGGATCTTTAAAAAAAAGAAAAAATATATATTTGTTTTAGAGTGTATATGTGTTTGTGAGACTGTCTGTGAGTGTGTGAGATTGTGTCTGTGGCTGTGTGTGAGAATGTGTCTGTCAGTGTTTTTGAAGGTCTGTTCACACTAGTACAGTGTAATAATTGAACAGTCCTGTGCGATTAATGCACTGTACCATGCAATCGCACCTACTATACATTCTGGTGTGGGAGGTGCGCTGCGTTGGCATTCAATTGAATGGCACCCCAAACACACCTCCCGCCCACAGTTCAATCTCCTACACTGGAACGCGCGGTAACGCAATGCCGTGCGCTCCATTGCAGTGCGACTTGGGTCGCAACTTAATTACTGCATTGCTATATAATGTATTGATAAGATTTGTTGACCTCTATTGCTGGTGGTATTCTACATTGCTGTATAATGGATTATTGGGATTTTGGGTCCTCTATAGTTGGTGATATTCTGCTTTGCTGTATAACAGATTGCTAGGATTTGTAGATCCTCCACAGCTTGGAGTCAGTAGCAGAACTACAGAGTCGCAGTGGTTGCAGATGTGACTGGGCCCTGGTGCTTTACCACTGTCCTAAAATCATTAGTCTACATTGTTTTAGAAAAACTGTCACATGATGCTAAAAAAAGGTATTGGTATCGATGAGTACTTGAGGAAAAGTATTGGTCACAATGCAATGATGATGCCATTCCACCAAAAATTTAATTTATTAAAGCATAGTCTAACTCATAAATGATTATTTGTCCATCTTTTGGTCAAATAAGTTTTGAAACAATGATTTTTATCATCAACATAATTTGTAGTGAATCTAGATCCCGCTCTACATAGAATATTAGTAGCAATATAAGAAAAATACACTAGATAATGACCAGGGTATATCAGTGCACAGTGTGTGAAATTGCCAGGACTATAGCACTATCCAAGTCATTCCTTTGTAGACGACATCTATATTTTGTGTGTATAGATTTACTAAAACAGAATTCATGCTGTAAAAATGGATGAAACCAAATGCTTTTGTATGTCCCTACATTTTATCTTTTAGCCTTTATTCACACGTAACCAATTACTTTTGGAAGTGTTTCTTTAGCACATTCTTTCATGAATGTATGTTTTTGAAGTGATTTTCATATGTTTTCAAGGTTCAGGCGTTTTTATTTTGGGCACTGTAAAGCAGTATCATCTGTGACATCATATGTCATCATCATCATCCTTGTATCTGCTTCCAGGTTTTTCTGTGTATGGTGGCTTGTGCTATCGGAGCTCCCAATATGGGAAAACTTCACACCCATTTTCTTTCCAGGCTCTCTACTGCGTGCCATGGTGCTTGTAATAGGCATCACTGGAGTCATAGAGGCCCCACCAGAAGGATAAAAGTCTCCACATTCAGCATGAATACTCCTGAATCTTACATTTTATTTATAGGCCTGAGGTTGCTGGGTGAGGTGAGGTTGAAGAGGAGATTGATTGTTGGGTGCAAAAACACACTAAAACGTTTGAGTCACATGTTTTCAGGTGCTCCCACAGAAGTCTATATAGGCAAAAATGTGTGATTCAGTCTACTTTTGTGTTCAACAAGTGGCTCATGTGTGAACGGGCACCACTGACTATGATGGGAATCTTCATGTTGAGCATTATAATGCTTCAGGAAACCTCAGGTGTAAATGGGGGCTTATAATGCAGATTACTAAATGAAAGACAACATTTGATTGGTTGCTACTTAAGACTTGTTTCACTTTATCCATGTTTTATAATAAATATTGTTTAGTTTATGCCGAGCTGACCATCAGAATACCCCACAGTCTACATTAGACTACATTTTCATGCTAGGCTGCTTACAGTGGTCCACACAATGACAGTGATCTAGGCAGAGAGCAATAAAAAACATTTCAAGCAGGGAAGGAAAGGTGATAACACATTTTGTTTTTGCTACCTGCACCCTTACCATTAGGGAGGTTTGCCATAATATCCTGTTTTGAATAAATAAGCTGCCTATAGGGTTCATCATAATAGTGAATGTCTTCTATTTGGTCCATTTTTAGTCTGTTAAATATATAGTTGAAAGTGTTTTGTTATATCTGTTTAATAAATGCAAAAAATATACTGTATGTGATCTTGGCAGAAATCATGCCAACAGAACGTCCTATGCTGTCTGCCTCTGCTGACTGTTACCAGTTCCCTGCTCTCCCTTAAAAGAGTACAGACCCCCCTTGTTATGGTGAAGAGAAGAGGGGGGTTTATGTAGTTTTGTCCTAGTTCTGTTGTCCTGAAACAGTAGGGTGATAGAGCGTTTCCACCGTAGGTGAGGATGTGTGCTAATGGCAGAATTACCAGGTGAAAAAACTACAGCATGAAAAAGAAAAGTAATGTAGCTATCACATCAAAGAACTGGTAAGCTGCAATATATTACAGTTTTGTTTTGGGGTTTAGATATACTTTAACACATAGCAGAGGTTCTAACTCTACCTATGTCTCTAGCTATGTCCCCTCCTTTATCTAGCAATGGTGTTTCCTGTTTTTTAAAGTATATTTGTTTATTTTTTTACTAGTGATATAGCATATGTTTCAGCACATCATGCAATTCTTTGTGTGCCAAACATGCAAACATTACTTCATTGTTCCGTTTAAATTATATCCCATTGTTGAATAGGGTTAAGGGGGACCTACAGCGTTTGCACTTGCTTTATCATACTTGGCTGGGAAGGGTAAATGTTGTAAAGATTAATGTCTTGCCCATGTTGATATTCCTGTTTCAGATGCTCCTGTTTGGGGTCACAAATGACTATTTTAAAATACTTCAGTCTGTGATATTTAAGTACATATGGAAAGGTACTAAACCGAGGGTCTCCAGATATGTGTTTGCTTGATCTAAAGTAAATGATGGTTTGGCAATCCCAAATTTTAAACTCTACTACCATTCTGCCATGCTTACCCGACTTGTAGATTGGATATATGCATATCAGACTAAGCAATGGGTTGCCTTGGAGAGTATGCGGAGTAGATCGGAAATTAATTCAGTGATCTGGACGGTTTTGGAGCCTTTCCCCCGGATACTTCGCCTTTGACAATGTCAACTCTGGTGATGTGTGGATAGCACCTTGTTTAAAGCTGGCTGTACATACAATTCTCCTCTGCTACCCTTGACTGGTCATGTGTATTTTATGCCGGGTAAATGGTACATGAAGTTTAATGATTGGCATGTTGACAAGCCTATCCGTCTCCACCATGTGCTTAGGGGCACTGTGCTAACACCTTTGGAGACCCTTCTAGATCCTATTTGCCCGACATTTATGGATTATTAGCGAAACTCACCGTTACAGCATTTTCTTGTATCTCTTGCAAAACCTTTACGATCTTTAAGGGATCTTAGTCCTATTGAAACTATGTTTCTCTCACATAGTGGGCCTACAGGGTGTACCTCCCACTTTTATAAAATTTTGCTGGAACTTGGGAGAATGGACTTTCCCGACTTTTTGACTAGATGGGAGAGGGACTTGGGTGGCCCACTACCTGATGAACAAAAAACCAAGGCACTAGCTTTAACACAAACCTCTTCGATGGCATGCACCATGGAAGGGATGAACCATAAATTGCTCAGTCCTTGGTATCTTTTCCCGTCCAAAATGCATAAGATGTATGGTGATCTTTCCTCCTTGTTTTGGAGGGGATGTGGACAAAGGGGTACACTGGCGCACATATGGTGGACTTGCCACATTATACAAGGATATTGGGGTCAGGTGAGCACTTATGTTGAAAAAATGATGGGTTCTTCTATAGAGGATGATCCGTGGTGTATGTTATTTCATCGCACTACAGAATCTAAAGCTAGATATAAACGTTCATTGATTCCTCACCTACTTAATGCTGCAAAAGCTTGATAATACGGTGTTATGTGCCCAAAAAATGGGGTCAGCTGCTTACATGAATATACTAAATTAGCAGGTTTTTCCGTTAATGGGTTTTTAATTCCCTGGTGGTACAGGCATATTCCAAATGACAATGGCAGGATTCATCGGGCTCAGATTGTAAAAGGGTGGTTAAGGGAGCATGATACATAATTTTCACACCTGGATTGGCCACAACAGAGTGCGGACCTTAACTCCATTGAGAATCTTTGGGATGTGGTGGAAAAGACTTTAAGCAATGGACCGACTCTACCATCATCACCACAAGATTGAGGTGAATGTATGTCATAATCAAAGCTAAAGGTGGTTCAACTAAATATTAAAGTTTGTGACTTATTATTTTGGGCCAGACACTGTATAAAACAAGGATGTTGTTATCATGTAGAGAGAGAATCAAGACAAATGGCAAACAGTATATTTGTGAATTTAATAAAAAATATGTAAAAACTGGAGTGGTTCTCCTAGAGAAGGGCAAAGAACCAAGGGAAATTTATCAAAACTGGAGCAGACACGATCTGGAGCAGTTGCCCAGGGCAACCAATCAGCTTCTCTCTTCAGATTGTTCAGTTAAGATTTGAAAATGAAAGAGAGAAGCTGATTGGTTGCTGTGCACAGATGCTCCAGATTTTGTCTGCTCCAGTTTTGATCAATTCCCCTCTGTATGTTAATCTGTTTAGTTAATATTGTTGATGAATTTTGTCATAATTCATGAATGCTTCAGTCCCTGATTAATTATTGTGATCTTTCTAATAATTAGTTATTCAGTCCCTGATGATTTCTTCAATAACCTATCTCTACTATGTTACAGGCTTGACCAAAAGTTTTAAAAAATGTGTGAGACGAATCAAACTGAGGTGACTGAATTTTTTCTTCTGGGATTTCAAAGCTTTTACCACCTAAAAGTGCTGATTTTCATACTGGTCCTCCTTGTGTATATTGTGATACTGATGGGAAATCTTCTGGTTGTCATACTGGTGTCAACGAATGATCAGCTCCAAATTCCCATGTTTTACTTTCTCAAGCATTTGGCATTAGTGGACCTCATGTTCACCACCAATATTGTACCCAACATGCTCTATATTATATTGATGGAGGGAGGCAAAATTACTACAACAGGGTGCTTTATTCAATACTATATTCACTGTATTGCAATTTACACACAATCTGTAATACTTTCTGTAATGTCTTTTGACCGGTATATGGCTGTTTGCCATCCTTTGCGTTATTCTTCCGTTTTGAGCCCTAGATTGTGTCTCCATTTGGCTTTCTGGTCTTGGGCAGCTGGTTTTTTCCTCATTCCATGTGAATTTATCTTAATATTCCAATTACAGTTTTGCGACTCAAACGTCATTGATCACTTCTTTTGTGATTTTGCCCCTTTCCTTACCCTTTCTTCATCAGACACAAATATAGTACGATGGCAAGATTTTATGATCTCTGTCTTTCTCATATTTCTTCCATTTCTATTTGTTATTTTGTCTTATATCTGTATTTTCATTACAATCTTGATGATCTCAACCGCTGCTGGACGAAGGAAGGCTTTCTCCACTTGCAGTTCCCATCTGGCCACTGTCAGCACACATTATGGAGCTTTAGTTACAATATATATTTTTACAGCAAGAGGTGATGACCTCCATGAAAACAAATGGAGGTCTCTACTGTATACAGTGATTACTCCATTTATTAATCCCCTTTTATATAGCCTCAGGAGCCACGAATTTAGAAAAATACTAAAACAATTGACACAAAGGAGAAAAAGAAAATAATACAGGCATATGGTATATGAAAGTTGTAAACATGTTAATAAAGTAAAGTAAAATGAACTGCTATTTGTTGCTTGCATTGAATGTTTTATCTTTGTTCTAAATCATTGGGTGTTTAGGGTCAAGTAAAAATTGTAATGAAATTGTCAGACTAAAGCTCGAAACATACGTTATAATCTAACTGTACAATCTCCTTTAGATCTTCCAGTAACTATGTAGTACAAGGGCCTGCCTGATTGGATTAAAATTGATGGCTAGTTAAATAGATCCTTATATTACATAGTTTTGGTAAATCTAAAGATTGTACAGTCAGATTCTAACATGTATGGTGTAAACATGTAAACTGTTTACAATTTAAGGTGTGCTGCCCCCTTCTGTTGCTCAGGGAGCACTTATACTGCCTAAATCTACTTTAACCGCAAACCCTATTATTGCCCCATCTACAGCAGCCCTTCTGGATTTTTCCAATGCTTTCTTCATGTAGACAGAAAAGAAACAATGTATCCTCAACTACTAGACTTTCTTGACATAGCTCAAACTTACTGCAAAGCCTGGCTTAGACAGATGAGGAAGCAATCATTTATTTATGGGAATTGGGACCATGTGGGGAACAGTGACTCCAGGAGAGGAGACACATGATGCTCTAGACTAAAGATGAGATGATAGCTCATCTCTCTCCTTACACTTCAGCTGACTAAAATCTAACATCCCAACTAACCTCAGGGTAAGTGATGTCCTAGTTACAAAGCTATCTTACAATTATCAGCAAGAATAAATTAACAAAAAAAAAAAGCATTGTAATGTTTTATCTGGCTTCCTTAATGGAAGTCCCACCAAGTGAAGAGGGAGCATAGAACCCGCTTCCAGGCCAATCTGGAAGCCAGGCGGCGTGTAATGATTTGCCACCCAGCTTCCTGATTAGTCAGGAAGCTGGCCAATGGGCGAGTCATTACCCGCCCCCCGGCTTCTTGATTGGCCAGAAAGCTGGCTCCATGCTTCCTCATCTGTCAGGATACCGTGCACTGGTGTCCTCACACCGCATGCAGGTACCCACACGGGAGGACCAAATACGTAACCACACCAGACTGCCACTGAGCTTATATTCCGTTTATTATACAAACCAAAACATAACACAAATAACCCCACCAACACCCACAAGTAACCACAAACAAGTAATAGAACTAACTAAATTTAAACACAAGCACATAAAAAAAGGTAACAAGGTAAGTAAACCCAGGGAGCATAGAACCACAAGGGGAGCCAAGGGTCAAGGTAAAGGAACAAGGAGGTAACAGGACTCAGGACTTGGCAACAATACTGAGCCAACGCCCTGACTGCAGGGAGGGATTAAATACCGTCCCAGGTATCACCAGGTGGTGAATAATCGCTGGGAGACACCCACAGGTGAGCACTTGAGTCGCAGGTTCCAGCACCACCCGGTGGTGGTCTGGTACCTGACAGCTCCTGGCTGCCTGGAAACACCTGCAGGGGAGCGCAGGAACCGCATGACCTGGTTCCAGCGCCACCTGAAGGTGCTATGGTCCCTGACATCGTCACTTGGTGAGGAGGGAGCATGGAGACGGCTTCCCCGGCTATTCAGGAAGCTGGGCAGCGAGTCATTACACGCCGCCCACCTTCCTTAATGGGACTTCTACTCGTCGGTACTCGATACTGCATCCCTAGTATTTAAAGTACAAGTCTAAAAAGTATTTTTATTGAATTTTCATAAGTTCTATACCACTCCTAATAACCATATCAATCTAGAAGTTGGTAAACGTACTGTGGCAGTGTGTGGCAATGCCACTGTGTAATCTCCATTTCTAAGTACTGTAACAAGGACACTCCACTGAAGACCGGAGGTGCAAGTACAATGCAGTTTATTTGCTTTCAAAACGATAACACGAAATCCAACATAAATAGCTTGCTGTAGCATAACAGATAGGGGCTCACCAATCCTCGAGTTGTCACGTACACTCAAGGTGTCCCAGTCTTTTAACAAGTCTCTCTCGCAGCACTGCTGCTCCGGCCTCAATCTTTAGGGCCACTGTCTGGTTCCTCCAGACAACAGCAATAACATGCCAATCCTCTCAATATGGTTCACAAACCCGCAGCTCCCTGCTGCCCTGGCCTCCACACTGACTCCGGGGTGGAGCTCTCCTGACTCACAGGTGGGGCCCTGAACACATCCCAGCACACACTTCATGAGGGATGTAAACAGGTGCACAATCAGGTGCTGGTCACCACCAAAGCATGGACCCAGGAATGGAGATTTCTTCCCACCCAGAGCTCTAAGAAATCTCCTGGCTCCAGGATCCCAACCTTGATCCAGAAAACCCAGAAAGAACTGAAAAGGCAGTTCTCTCCTGGTACCAGTAATGTCTTCCTGGAGCCACTCAGCCCCTCTGGCTGAGAACCCTGGGTGACTTTGAGGCCACCTAACACCGTGGTATTGCCTCACAATGCCACAGTACATATTTTCAGTGTCCAGCACCTGCTGATGGCACAAGTGTGCGCAGCCTTTAACCACTTCCGGGCCGCAATACGTCTATAGACGGCGGCTCCTTAACTGCTTGAAGACCAGGTGTTTAGACCCCCTTCCTGGCCAGGCCATTTTTCAGTATTCAGCGCTGCGGTACTTTGACTGACGTTTATTCCGTCATGCAACGCTATACTGAAATTAATTTTATACCATTTTTTGGGGACAGATAGAGCTTTCTTTTGGTGGTATTTAAACACCACTGGGGTTTTTTTATTTTTTACTATAATTAGGAAAAATTACTGAAATTTTTTTTTTACATTGTTAGGAAACATTTATTATTACCCAATTTTTTGGTAAAATCTAAAAGATCAGGTCTCGTCGGGTAAATAGACACCAATCATGCCAAGCTTTAAAATTGCACGCACCAGCAAAATCGCAGAAAAATTGGCCATAGGCGACACTTTAAAAGCTTTTACCGCTCATCAGTTTAGTGTTATCAGTGATTGATGGCCCTAGAATTATTGCTCTCACTCCGACGTTCGTGGCGATATGTAACATGTGCGGCGTAATGGGCGCAATTGTCTTTTTTGCACGTATGCGCCCCCGACGCATGTTTGCATGCGTGTATGTATGAGTGGGGACTTTACTTCTTTTTTTTTGTTTTTTTATTCTTTTTTATGTGTAACTTACATTTTTTGGGGGGGGGGGTTTTAATTTTTTCCCCTTTTTTTTTTCTTCACTAAACTTTATTGCTATCACATACCGGGGCTAATAAAACCCTCCTATGTGATAGCAAAACATGTGACAGGTACTCTTTATGGAGACATCAGGGGTCCCCAAGACCCCTAATGTCACATAGGACCCCTCAAAAGAAGCTGGTGAAACACAGATCTGCTCCATCCGCTTCTTTCCAGCTTCTGAACCTGGAGAGTGACACAAGAATGCGGAAGTGATGTATTATACAACACTTCCGCATTCTTGCAGCGGAGAGGGGACCAGTGATGTGTATTACATCACTTCCGGTGTCACTCTTACAGTCTCTGGCTCTTAGAGCCAGGAGATGAAGCTGGGAAAGCAGATCTCTGCTTCCTCAGCTTCTTTGGGGTCCCTAGGTGACATTAGGGGTCTGAAAGACCCCTGATGTCTCCATGTCTCCTATCTGCTATTACATAGGGTGCTTCGGTGCGCCTACGTGCAAAAACTACAATTGCGCTACACATGTTACATATCGCCGTGAATGTCGGAGTGAGAGCAATAAACTGATGAGCGGTAAAAGCGTTTAAGATGTTCCCTACGGGAAATTTGGGGTATTGACTTTTTTTGCAGCTTCACAGGCAAACACAATTTAAAGGCCTGACATGTTTGGTATCTATTTACCCAGCGTGACCCCGTCTTTCATATTTTACCCAAAAATTGGGTATTATATTATGTTTCTGTGCACTAAATTTTAATTTAGTTTATTTTTTCCTAAAAATACTAGTTTGATAAACATTTGCGCAAAAACCATGCAACATACAAAATTGCAACTAGCATTTTTTTTTACTCTACAGGGCCTCTGCTTTCAGAACATATATAATTGTTTGGGGGTCTGCAGCTGTTTTCTAGCCAAAAATTATATTTTATCATGTGTGTGCAAATAGTAAGTAAATGCACAGGACAGCAAGTGGTTAAAATAAAGGTGTTGGGAAGGGTTCAGGGCTCCACCTGGGAGACAGGAGAACTCCACCCAGGAGTCAGAGTGGAGTCCAGTGCAGCAGGGAGCTGCGGGTTGAAAAAAACAAATGTGCAGGATAGCACAAGACTGAGACTGTCTGGAAAAACAGGCAGTGGCCTGAGGTCTGAGGCCGGAGCAGCGGTGCTGCAAATGCAAAGCCAGGAGGCTGGATGTGCATGTGTTGCCGAGAGATGCTAAAGAACCTGTGCGAGGGTAATTGGCAAGGAAGCCCTTAAATGAAGATTTCAGCGAGTGGATGTGTCCATAATGCGCTACTGTTTGGAGCTAATTCTCACAGTACCTTTTGAAGATTCCCATAGGATGTACTTCCTCAATGTAGTGACACAATTTTACTCAGCCCTTTGAATATGCAAGTCCTTGTGTCACAACTTTTATAGAACCTGCCTTTTGAACTACAACTCACCATCTGAACAATGTAACATCATAATTTCTTGCTGGAAGCAATGCATGATGGGAGGTGTAGTCTTTAACAATCGAAATTGCATCAGATCAGGCAGCAGAGAAAGAGATGCAAAGCATGCTGGGAATCCAGGAAGTTGTTGAAAGTGGTGGGCAGTACTCACTATAAAAAGGGTTTTTTTTTTCAAGTTAACTTTGACTGCATTACCAAAAACAACTATAGTATGTATTCCTATTACAATTCCTTTAAAAACAGCTCTGTCTATGGGTTTCCCAACACAATTTTGTTTAAATACATTCTACTGTGAAAACATTTAAAAGTAGCTCTGCAAATATATATGTTGTTTCTACAGTATGTGGTTTGAATTTGAAACAGGAATCCTTGTCGGT